TTAAATATATGATTAAAATGTACTCTTTTCCATGTGTTCTTTGTTGGGAACAAGCCTAATAGAAAATATAAAGAAGGAAAGGGGAAATTAGAGAAGCTTTCAACAGAATGAGAAAGGGGATATAGCAAACTTAAGAATGAAGATTTTTTTTCCTGTTTATGATAGCTGCTAGTTCTTTTTTTAGTTAATTAATTTGTGTTAATTTATATATACATGAGTTTATATGGGTTATATAATATAGAATACATAGAGTACTTCCAGAGTAGTTAACTGTCCAGCACTGGGCAGCCACTCTCATATGGCTACAGACATATTAAGCACCAGGCCCAGACTTTTGCTGTCATCATCAGTGTCAGTATCCTAGGAGATGTCCAGATCTTGCATAATTACATCCTGATAAATGAGTACTTTATGTTCATACCAAAAACACTTTCAAAATTAATGCAATTGAGAGATAGCTACTGTTGATGTACCTGTCTTCAAATCATTAGGAATATCATACAAAACCATTTTATTTAGGATCTTTTGTTAACACCCACCTACATTTTAGAGTAATCATGTTCACAGACAAAATTATATTGTCATTAGAGAATCAAATTTCATAGCCACCCTCAGGAACCTAAGGATTAAAAATGAAGCCTTGCTATCTCAGTAAATTAATAGGTAAAATTCACTCCAAGTAAACAAGAGTGAAAGAAATACCCTCAATGTAATGCTATTCCAGAGCAGAAAGTCCATTTACTTCAAACACTATTCCAGAGCCATTGGGCCAGCTCTGAGCTGGCACTGTGTAAATACAGATAAACTGAATTATGGAATTCCTGGGTTAATAATACTAGTTTTGTGGTTAAGAGCAACAGCATTTAAAATACCAGTACATGTTTGACAAACCTATTTGATGCAGCCTTTATGTGGAATGAAATTAAGTCTAGATATAGAAATAAAAATCACATAAATATAAAAGCCAAATAATGTAAATTAATAATAAATAGTTGTAAGTACATAGGCCATTAGTGTTGAAAAGATTCTTCACTCCAAACTTCTGGTCTTTTCCAGGAATCTATCATTTTTCATGTTCACATTTTGCGCCTGTGAAAGGAGAGTGGCTACATATGTGATGGGATGGGGCATGGAACACCCACATTAAACATTGCCAATGGGTGGAAAAGAGACCTCTGAAAATCAGCATCATCCTTTGTCCTCCTTCCCCTGCCAGAATAGCCACTTTTCCTCTGGGACACAGTCTTTAAAGCCTCGATAGCATCCAAAGAGTCTCCTCTCTGCATGATAGGGCAGAAATAATTCAATTTTAAGATGAAAATATAGTAAAAAAAGTATATGTTGGAAAATATTTAAATTCACTTCGCGCATTTTTAAATCTGCTTCCATTGTAATTGGGTGAGACCGGTCATTTTAGATGCTAAAATGCTTAAGTAACTTTCGGAAACCTGCCACCAAAATGGCTAGAGATAGAAAGCTGAAAATTGGCATGTTATGACATTCACTTTAGCAGAGGTGCCCACGCTCTCCCCACAGCAAAATGACTTTAATTTGCCCAACCTCAGAGTCCTTGAAAATGACACTGAGCATTTGCTGTAATGATTTCTCACTAAATTAGAAAAATGCCCAACTAAGGAGGGATTATCTCTGCATGTGGATGTGGCATAATGACTGTCAAGTGCACTGAGAGCCCCACTGGGCTTTGCAAGGTACACAGGGTCTGCAGCAGAGGCCAGTGTGTATTGGAGAATATTAATACTGTCTTGTTGGGGGCATCCATTGTGATACTCTACTGCTGTTCAGACAAAATTATACCATACGAGGGAATTCTCTTTGCTACTTTACATATATGAGGTACATTTTAGAGCTGAGGATTAGTTCCAAATTGTCTGGCTGACAAACTCAGTCCATAAAGGATGCAGTCACATGTGTGCCCACACTCTCTGTAGTGTATGCATCCACTGGGACAGCATCACTGCCAGATCCTTCCTCGCAGTCCATGGCCTCTGTGCCTGCAATGAGGATGTGATAGTGAACTTGGTTCTGCACACCTAGAAAGTTTTCCAGCTGCACCCTGGGAGCCCAGCAGCTCTGGTTCAAAACGTGTTTTGTCCTCCAGGTGTCTGGGTACTGCTGCCCAGGTTTCGGAACCAGAGAGGAGCAAGCTGGCTGGGCAATGCCACTGCCTGATCATCTCTCTCACCATGGTGAGGAACTGTCCCTATCTGCCTCTGCTCAGCCTCTAAACAAGAGTGCGAGGAGGCACACTTTTTTATATCAGAGCTTGTACCAGGAAGGACAGAGAGATGGTGGGGATGTGTTGGCAGAAAGGACTTCGAGAGCCTCAACACAACCGCCACAATAACACTTCAATAGCAACACTCAAACGCCCAGTTCTCTTGTTCCTCCCATCTCACTGCCAGCCAACTGGCTCAAACCCATGCTGCTGAACAGGCATGAGGAGCACACACACATGCCTCTGCGGGTGTTCGTTGACTTTAGTGCCAGTGCTCTATTAAAGAGGATGCCAGACCCCTCGGTAAACCCACATGAGGCTGTTTCTGCCTCTATTTTGCAACAGCTTTTCAAAACAAGTCTGGTAAATGTGAACAGGATGGGAGGTGAGTGCTGGAGAGTCTGCAGGGCCCTGCTGTGCCAATTAGGGTCCCCCGAGGGGTCTTTCCTTTTGAAACTGGTCCACTGGGGAAGGAAGGGCACACAGGGATTATGGGGCCAAGCACGGAGTGAGATTGACTGACTCTTATATCAAGGCCAGATTTTGGTCTCAAACTTGCCAAGTTCATCCCCAACAACCACGGGAAAAAGAGGTAGGAAGATGATGCCCATGTTGTGTCCAAACTTCGAGCTTGTCCTGCCATCCCATCTCACATGGGTAATGTGGAAAGCAAGCAGAGGAGGGAGCAGGGAGAAAGAAGTCAGAGGTCTAAGGGTCCCAGGAGTCAGTGAGTGAAGGCAGACCACCAAGGAGAGAAAGCAGCCTAAAGATTTTGTCCACGTGTCCCCATCTTGATAATACAGCTGCCTAGTGTCACCAAGTTCTTGCACCTTCCAGGCAAGGGAACACAAATCAGGCCAGACACAGTAGGGCATGGCTACTGCCTTGTGCCTGTCCTGCACTGTCATGTCTACGGTTCCCCTCCACCTCCCATTTTCCTGGGTGTCCACAGAGGTTCACAGTGGGCTGCAAGGTCATGGTCTCTGCTCCCCCATGGGATGGAGATATAGGAGCCTGTAGATCTCCTGGACCCACAGCTGTACAAAGAGCTTCAGGGACCTGGGAAGGCCGAAAGACAACACATTTGTTTTATGGGCAGGAGTTGAGGCTGTCCCAGCAGTGGCAATTTCACCTGCTGTACCTTCATCCTTGCTGCCCAGGGATCCCAAGCGCACAGCTTCCCACAGCAAGTTCAGCCCGTGTGCGAAGCTTTGTTGACCTTTTCCACGGGGATTTCCCATGAGGGATGACATCTCCCTTCCTGACTCTTCCCGGTGGCCTCCGTTGTTTCGGACACGCTCCAGAATGAGTCCCGTCCCGGCAGGGACCGATGGTAGCCCAGAGACCCAAGCACATTCCCCGGACCTGAAACCCGCCGGGTCAGGTGATGCAGCTCCACGCACAAAGGGCCTTTCCCTGCACAGACGGAGCGGCGGCGGGAGCGCCGGGCCCTGAGGGTGCCGCATTCGCGGGAGTTTGATACCGGTCCGGCCCTGCCGCCGCGTGTGGCACCCCCGGATCTGCGGGACCTGCCGGCTGCTTCCGACAGGGCTCTCCGAGGGCCACTGGGATGAGGCACCGCGCTTAAAAACGGCAAAGTGGTGCCGGGAGGATGCGGCGGCCGAGAGGGGCTGCCGGAGCCCGGTGGTCGTGAGGGAGCCCTAGTACGGCCAGCCCCGGCCTTAGCCCCGACGGGTTAGCGAGAGGCCGGGGCGGTCCTTCGCCGCTGATGGCAGTGGGCACATGGAGAGAGGAGCCGAGCCCTCCATCAGCCAGGTGTTTGTATTCACGTGCAGCCGTACGTATCTATGGGCACACATCGTGCATCTCTCTCCGGCAGACTTGCTACCGGGGTGGGAAGGAAATGTGTTCAGCCCAGTCTCTCCCCAGCCCCACCTTTAGCTTCGCGGGGAGGACCGAAAAAGCTCCCGGGACAGGGGGCAAGGGTCCCCCGCACCCCGTACCTTCAACTAGACCGGGGGAAAGGAAGAGTCCCCGCCATCTGCGCTCGCCGGGGCGGGAGGGTCCCGGTGCCGGGCTACCGCGGGGTGAGTTGGAGAGCGACGGTGCTCCCAGCGCACGATCGCAAACACCGAGTGGCTGCTTTCTACGCGAAGGGAAGGACATAAACCACCAACGAGCTTTTATTGTTATCATAATCATTATTATCATCGCCATCATCTGCACATAAATAAATAAATAAATATCTCCCAGGGGGAGGGAGTGGGACGGAACGGTACAACCACAGCTGTGTGCCCGGCAGCGACTAAGTCGAAACAAAACCGAGAGCAATTTTTGAAAGAAAAAAAAAGGGGGAAAGGAAAATATAACAATCCAAGCAGCCTTCGACCCTCCCCATCCGCCTGCTTTCAGGCACCGCCGAGTTACCGGAGAAAGCTCAGGACAGGCAACACTCCAGGCGGACGCACCTCCCGGCACTGCGCAGCATCCGCGCCCGTCTCGGTGCGCGGGGAGGTCTGCGAGGACCTTCCCGGGCTTGGGGCTGTGCCTGCGGGGAGACAAGTGAGAGAGCACTACGGGGGGGCGCCTGGGGTCCTAGGGAGCAATTTATTTACAACAGGGTACCAGGGTACCCGTCCTCATGGGCCGGGGGTCTAGAAAGACTAGAAAGTCCTTTGTAAATTACACAAATTATACAAAACATTATAAAATCCTTCGGCTGCATTTCAGCACCGGGGCAGGCAGGCCTCCTTCCCCTGCTCTCGCCACAGTTCCTGGGGAGCCGGGGTGGGTGTGCGGGGGGCTAGGGCGTGACTGCGAGACCTCTGTCGTCCTTCCCCGAGGAGGACGGAGACATGCGCAAGTCCTCGTCGTCTTCCGAGCATTTGATGGTGGAAAGGGATGAACATTTGCAGCTGTGGCCGCTCCCCCCGCCCCGGTGTGAGCTACTTTTGCCTTCTTTCTTGTGCTTGACCCGTCGGTTCTGGAACCAGATCTTCACCTGCTTCTCGGAGAGGTTCAGGTAGGTGGCGATCTCGATTCGCCGCAGCCGGGAGAGGTACATGTTCGAGGCGAACTCCCTCTCCAGCTCCAGGAGCTGTGTGCTGGTGAAGGCGGTGCGCATCCGCTTGCTGCTGGGCAGCTGGCTGGACGTGTTGTCTGGGAACGGAGCAGAGCGCACGGTCAGGACCTGCCGGACCGCCCGCAGCCCCACCCCGACGTCGGTCTCCCCCGCGTCCCGCTGAGCCCTCCTCGCCGCCCGCTCTGGGGTTCCACAACCCTTCCTCGGTCCCAGAAGCCGGCGTGGGACCGGCAAGTGGCTGCCAGGCTGGAGTTAAGCTCACGGGTACCGCTCGGCCGCCATATCCCCGTTCGCACGGCCTGGGATCGGAGGCTCGGCGGCAGCAGCAGGGTTTCCCCTGCGCATCGTCCGAGGCACCAGCAGAGAGAGGTGCCGGGACTCCCCGTCCAACCTGCTAGTGCTGGGTAGGGACTCTCCTCCCCCGGTACCTTCGGCAGGTTCCCCCGGGATCCCCATCACCTCTCCGGTTCAGTGCTGTCATGCAGGCATGCACCACCCCGCTTCCCACCCCTGCCCCCTTACCCACGGAGATGCAGTGGAACTGACGGGGGTCTGGCAGCGGGTAGGCGCCCTGGTAGAGCGCCGGTGCGTGCCCGACGCTGACGGCGGAGACAGAGTGCTGCTGGCGGGCCAGGGGCGAGTGGCAGTACTGGGAGCCGAAGGGGGGGAAGGAGGCCTTGATGAGGGGGATGGCAGGCGGCGGCGCGTGCAGCGTGGGAGGCCGGTGACACAGAGCGGACAGACGCAGAGCAGCCCGGCCTTGGCGAGCTGGCAGGCAGCCGGCCGGCAGCCGGGCAGACGGGTTGCGAGGGGTGCACGGCGTATTGGGAAAGAGCGTTCGGCGGCGGCTGCCCTCCCCTTCTTTCGCCCGCCTCCACGCAGCACTAGCGATCCACTAGAAGGAGCGCGGCATGGCCCCCACGCAGCGCGCCGCGCAGCCCCGCGCGCGCCGCTGGCCAGGCCTGCAGTGGTGCTGAACGGGGCACCGCGCCCGCTATTAATAGCGCACGCGCCATGTGATGGCGGCGCCGGGCGCTCAATGGGCTTTCTGTGGCTCTTCTCTTGGCATTCACGCCGCACGCTCCCTCATTATTTCCCTTGTTAACTAAATGAACTGCATAATGTACTCTATTCTTGTCGACCCCACCCACGCCGTAGCAGGCGGCCTCTCCCCTCCTCTCCCTTTGGCGGGGTTATTTTCTCATTCTCTCGCGATTTAATATTCTTTTCTTTCTCTTTATCGCTCTCCTTCGCTTTCAGCCCAGCTTTCAGCCCGCTCCCCCCTGTTTATTTTGCCGGCTGCAGCCGCGGGCTCCGCCGGCGCCAGCTTCCCCTGCCAGGCCCCGGCCGCCTTTCCCACCGTGGCACCAGGTCGGCCCCCCAGCCTCGACGGCCTTTCTCTCTCCTCTCGCCTCCGGGATGCTTCGTCCCCACTACCGCGCCTGCCGCCGTCCCCAACCCTGCGTCTTTGTTCACAGCCCGGTGCCGGGACCTGCCGCTTATCGCTGTCGCCGCCGTCGGGCGAAACCTCTGGCCGCAGAGATGTGCCCGCCGTTGCTCCATCGGCAGGGACATCCGCCAGGCCTCTGTGTGGGCGTAGGCGCCCGGGCACAGATAACGGGCATGGAGGGCCACAAGCATCGCGGCTGCACTGGTGCGGGTATAGAAAACCCGACACACAGACACCGCTCCGTGTCGGCGGCACCCGCGGCGGCGCTTCGAGCAGAGAGGCAGAAGAGGCGTCGGCGCATTCCGCATTCTTTATACCCTGGTCCCTCTGCTCGGTCTTAGCACCTGCCACCGCTAACACCTGCCATCGCACCATCGCTCTCCACGTGCGGCGGCCCCGGTCCCGGCCGCCACCAAGCCGATCAGGCTCGGCCCCGCATCGCCGCGCACAAGTGCGCCGGGGAGCCCCTGGGGCCGTGGGGACCGACAGGGAAACGGCTCATTTCTCCCGAACGATGGGATTTAACCTAAACACTGCTGCGGTGCCTGAATGTTTTAGCGCAGGGATCCGCAAAGCTCACGGCAGTCTCCAAAGCGAGTGCGCGTCCGTCAGAGCTAACGCGCACCGGCGCTGCTCCGCACAGCGGCTCCCGGCGTCGCGCTCTGTGGAGCTTGTTGATTTAGTAGGAGAATAAGGAATGCCAACAAATAAGAAAAAAATTATCGCAATATCTTCCCCGATTTTCCCGATTTTAATATACGGGGAATAAAAAGACAAACGCATCCATAGACTCCTGTCAAAACGTGGAGAGATTACTCCCTGAAGTAATCTCCCCGTCTCGAAACTAAATGGACTTTTATTAAAGGGGGTGAAAACAGAGGGAAAAGAAGTAAAAGCCTTGAAAGCAGTGTACTCCCGTGTCTCCGGCTGTGCAGAGGTTGTTGTGTCTGTGTTCACATTCCTCACTGAAATCCACGGAAGTTTTACCGAGACACTGTTGATGCCCGAGCCTAGAAATAAACTGATGTGCAAAAATGAAAGGCGAAAATTACAGAGCGAACAAAAACGAATGTTACTAAACATTCAGTCCCGCAACGATATAGAAAGGATTCCCAAGTGCCCTTCCCCTGAAAGCGTTAACGGGGTTTGGATTTTTTTGTTTGTTTGTTTGTTTTATTTTTAAGGGAAAGGTATTTTAAAACATTTTCCGCTGGAGCTGGCGCCCGGTAAGGGGCATCTCTCCCCGCTGAGAAGTGTCTCGCCACCGGGGGGTGGTGGATTCAGGCTTATGCTGAGGGATTCCCGCTGCCCGGGGGCTGAACCCCGGGGCTCCCAGCCGCAGGGAGGCAAAGGGTTAACAGCTTCTGAATGCACACCAAGCCCAAAGCTACTGGGAAAGAATATCCAAAAAAATAACCAGTTTTTTTTCCAGCCGCTGGACCTTATTGAATGTCATTGAAGAAAGTTTTGAATGCCAGATAAAGAGAGGCGAATTAAAGTGTGTGACAGCAGAGGATAAGCAAACACAAAGAGAACTCTGTCACACTTTGGGCAAAATCCGTGGGCTTTTTACCAAGCCTCTTCGCTATGATTGAATTAAGTAATAGGAAAACATTTTCTTTCAGTTTAGAACCATTAGACAAAAACTTCAAAGCGAATAACACTTTTTAATGTGCAGCCCAACAATGGAATCTGTTTTGTGCTGAAATGTTTAAATGGTTTGTTGTGCAACTGCGGGCTGAAATAACCTAGACTGCAGCAAAATAGCATCCTTCAGGCCGTTTTATAAGCGTTTGAAACTAGTACAGATCTTTAATCCCAGCGCTTCAAACTAGACCACCTCCCTGGTTTTTTGCGTCTCCCCACCATTTTGGGGGTTATTTTGTTGGAGTTTTTTTTTGGTTTTTTTTGATAGTGGAAATTCTCACCGTATATTTGCTGTCTCGAAGCGATCGCCGCTAAACGAAAACGGCACCGAGAGCGGGGTAAAGAACTCCGCCGGAGGGGTACGCACAGCAGGCGGCTCGAGGGGCACGGGTGGCGGGGGTCGGGGGGAGCCCCTTCCGATGCTCGGGGCGGCCCCCGCCCGGCCCTGCCTGTGCTGCGTGAGGCGGGCAGGGCGGCTGCCCCGGTCGTGAGGGGGGTCCTGTCGGGACAGGGGCCCCGGTGGCACCGGGAAGCGCCGTCGCTTGGGCTCCGGAGGGAAAGAAACGCTGGGTGGTAATTGCTACCCCCGTGCTCTGCACTCGCTATCACACCCCCCGGAGAAGAGGATGTGGAGAGGGAGGCATTAGAGTGCGCATCAGCTGGGGGACCCTCAGGGAGCAGGGCGTCAGGGGTCATTGCGGGGGATGAAGGAGAGAGAGGGCAACAGCGTTAGCACTGAGTGAGCCTTGCCTTCCTCCCCGGGGCTGGGTGGCCTATGGCACCGCTGCCTGCGAGAGGAGGTGTCAAACTGCGGCTGCCTAAGGGTAGTTGTGTGGGCATCGGCTGAAAAGAGCTCCCCCATCATTTTGAGGGACCAGCCGTCACCGCCTTTTATAATGACGACTTCTCTCTCCGGGACAGTTGCCCTTACTGTCTGGGAGTGGGAAGTGACACACACCATCAATCCCTAAGCAGAGGATGGAGAGATGCATTAATCTGAAAGAGGAGAGGAGGTGAGGATGCAATCTGGCTGAGGTAGGATGGAATCACTATTTCCAAGAGGAACACATCCTTGCTAGCTGAGGAGGACTAATGATTTGTGAGTGACTGTAATACTCCCCAGCCTAGTCCAAGAAGTGATTTTCTAATGGCAAATATCAAAATGTAAATCGAAACCAGTTCTGTACCACAAGCCACACACCATGAGATGGATTGTCCCAGGAATATGCCTTTTTACATTGGACAAACACAGACAGGAGCAAGTCTGTGAGATATTTGTGCACCCCTTTAATTAGCTTGACCAAAGAATGATTCTGAGTTTACTTGATTAACTAGAAACAGATTTTTTAAAAATCACTGCCTGATCAGCAAAATTGATTTCTTTGGATGCTGTACTTGCTTCATTGGTCTCTTACTTTATAGTACAGGACTAACTGCATTAACATATATACGAAATGTTATTTTTGGCTACTTACTGTTATTACTGGCTACTTACTTACAGCCATGTTCTGTACAGAATGAGTGTTTCCCACGGGCTTATCTTGCACAGTGACACAACAGGGCCTGTGTGACCAGCCAGTTCAGCAGTGTTTATTTCCACAGCATCTCAGAGGAGAGGTGGAGAAAGCTCTGTTCTTCTGCTGGGCCAAGGTGAAGTGAAGAGGGCTGGTACCTATTTGGGACCAGCAGGTGATGCTTTGTGGAGTGTTCATGTCACCCTATGTTTACATGAAACTCAGTGTTTGAAAACTGCAGTGTATATTTTGTGCACTGATTTTGGTCAAATGCTAGAAGCATTTGTCACCCTCAAAGCCAGGGTTCAGGGAAGGGAAACAGTCAATGAGAAGAATGCAAGTATTAAGTATCTGCAAAGAAGCCAAACCCCAGTTTTTTGTCATGAGCTCAGTGATCTACTTAACACTGTCTGGGAGTACCATCAGAGAAGCAGGAATAAAACCCAGTTGGAAGACAGGCCACATCACGTCAGACCAGAAGCCCATCTACAGCCATAACTTCTCTGCAGCAGTGGCTGTGACGGAAATCTAAGGAAGTCTATGGGAAAACAAGAAACATAGAGTGATCCTTCCACAGTTTACTCCTGGCAGCCACTGATATGCAATACGAGGAATTCCAGAAACATAGGCGATGTTAATGTTTAATTTCAGTTTTTCCAAAATAAAGGCTAAAACACAGGGTTGGAGTTTTTCCCCCCCATGGAGTTGCCTTATGTTTTCCCTCATCTCTTGTCTTATCTATCAATTCCTTCCAAATTTATAACTTTATAAATTTGGTAGCCTACCAGCAATGGTTTTAAAGGGGGCTTAAAAAAAGATGGAGAAACTATTTATAGGGACAGATAATGATGGGATAAAAGGGAATGGGTTTAAAATTAAAGAGAAGAGACTTAAATTATACATTAGGAATAGATTCAGAGGGTAGCGAGATACTAGAACAGGTTGCACAGAGAAGTCGTGGATGCCCCATCCCTGGAAGTATTCAAGGCCAGGTTGGATGGGGCCCTGAGCAACCTGGTCTAGTGGGTAGCACTCCTACCCAATGTGGGGGGGGTGGGTTGAAAGTAGATGATCTTTAAGGTCCCTTCAAACCTAAACCAGTCTATGTTTCTGTGATCCAGCCCTGCCACATTTCCATCGTGGTTCATTCAGTTTCATCTAGTTGCCATCGTAAGCTATCCAGTCAATAAGTGATCTTGCCAGTAAAGCCTGTGTCACAGGAGGACCAAATCAAAGCTGTTTATCTCCAGGACCTTTATTTTTTTTTTTCTCTGATCATTTTCCACAGCAGATATCTAGGGTAGAGATTTGCCATTTGAATCTTCTTCAATCCCATTGCTTGCTAACAGGGTTGGTCTACAAGGGAATCCTGTACTCATCCTCTAAGAAGACATTATCCTGTTCTGTTTGTCTTCCTTGGTTTGAACCTTTCACTGAGGAGGAGGTCTCAAAGAAGTAGTTGTACAGAAACGGTGGAAAAGTAACAGGAAAAGTAGGAATATGTAAAATCAAGCAATTTAAAATAACCTTTTGCTTTTAGAGAGACCACATTTCAAATTGGTGGAAACCTTGCAAGACAAAAGTACACACAGGATGGAAAAGAACTTGAGAGTAATGAAGACAAGGAATTGCAAAAAAGGAACCGGATATTAGTTCTGCAGACATGATTAAATTATGAAATTAGACATAAAATCCTTCAACCTCAGAATCCCCCCTATTTCCCAGCTTTTTTTTTACTGCCTCCTTCCTCTTTATCCAAATTTCTCACCTTTAGGTATTCTGAGTCCTCTACAAACTGAAAGTTATTGAGGTTGTCAGTCTGCTCTTTGAGAACATCCAAGAGGAAATTCTGTCATCATGTATGGTAAGAAACCATATCATATTTGTTATTTATATGAAGCATTTGAACACTTCTCTGTAGCTGATGTACTTCTTTTCAAGTTTTAATCACATTCATGTGGCAAGTACTCAACAAACTATTGATCTGTAGTATGTGTATTTGAGCTTATGGGTACACTGGTTTCAGTGCTGGCTTCTTGTCCCCTTCCTGGCAAATTTGGAGGATTTTGCAGTGGTTGTGGTTATTGCTGAATGAGACAGCTGGTTAGTGCATTCTGTGACGTAAGAGAAACAAATAAATGTTTATTAGATTCACTGTTAAAGATCTTTCTTCAACTTCTAAATGAAGGTGTACAGGAAGCTGACAGGAAAAAG